CCAACGCCCCGGCCAACAGGTAAGTCTCTAACCCCGCACCTGGCCTCATGCTACTTCCATCGATAAGATGAGCAAAATCGAATGAATCTTCCGCTAGAATATCGAAATATACACTACTGCACGTGTGTGTGCGTGTGCGTGTGCGTGTGTGTGTGTGTGTGTGTGTGTGTGAGAGAGAGAGAGAGAGAGCACTTCCATCGATAGGATGAGATTGCAGAAGGTTTGGGCTCTGCTCCGAGGTAGGTCGCAACATTATCTTGGGCTGACACTTTATGCATTTTGCAAAGTCTTTGCTTGCTCTGGTGCCAGGGATTGACGAGTGCTCTAGTGCCCCCTGGAGTACCCAATTCAGCCTCTCCTCACTCAGGGTAACCTTCTCAACACTTGTTATATTTTAGCCGAAGACATGGAGCCCATTTTACAGCAGGTGCAGGTCCCCACCCATAGAAAGGAGCTATCTGGGGGGCGGTGCTACCTGGGGATGCTCTTATCCCCTAGGTAGCACCCCCACCACCACCACCACCACACACACACACCACACACACACACAAACACACACACACAATCAGTTTTATCAACTTCTATGTATGTATGTTTGCCTGTCTGTTTTTGCGTGTTTTCTTCCTATTTTTTCCTAAGTACTTTTTGTGTGCCGAGCTGAGCACCCCTAAGTAGCCAACGGGTGATGATGGATGTTTGTCGGTGACTCCCTGGCTCAATGGGTGGTGGGAACCAACAGTCTGCGGGCTTCACCCGTGAATTGAGTAGGCGATGTGCCGCTTTGCTCCACGTTGGATGTGTAGTCTGCCTTGTCTACACTCTGCCGCTGCCTTGCTGCCTATCCCGCTTGCTTCACATGTTGTTCTTTGCAAGCTGTTGTGTTCACTGTGTGGTGTGGCTGCGGTGTTGGTGTTGCCTTGTACCTCACTGCTCTGCCGCCTTGCTGCCCATCCCCATGTCGTGTCGTCCGCATCCCTTGCTAACTAGTTTGGCTGCCTTGTTGGTGTTGCCTTGTGCTTCAATGCGCGGTTGTCGTGCTGCCCGTCCGCGTGCCCTAACACTCCTTGCAGTTGTTTTTGGCATTGTGCAATTGTGTCGCCTTGGCAGCATTGCCTGGTGCTCAGCTGAGTTGCTGCCCGCTGCCTTCTTTTTTTTTATAGTTGCTGCCCGCTGCTAGGTTCCGCTTTTGGCCAGTCTGCCTTCAACATGGTCAAAGGGTTCATGACGGAAATCATCAATACAGAGAGTCCTCAGATTGTCGAGGGTTCAGCCTCCTGATGCATTGGCGCAACTCCAACAAAACAGTCTTTCATCATCAGCATTATTCTTTTCGCTCTTGCTTTTTTTGGGACTTGTATTGTTTTCATGATTTGGCTGTTTTGTGTGCTTGTGTGTTGTCTGCCCTCCCTCCTCCCCCCTCCCCCGTGCCCTCCTCCTTGCGTCCTTTGATGTGGTCTGTTGTCCTATGCCTTGTTGGTTGTCTTGTGCTGTCTTTTTGGTTCACTGCTTGATGTTGTTTATCTGCCCACCCGCCTCCCCCCTGCCCTCCAGCCTGTGCCGTGCTGTTGTTTGTCGTCCTACACCTTGTGGCTTCTAGCCTAACTCCTTTCATCGAGTCTATGGCTTATAGAAAATGATCACAAGGGAACTGATGAGAAAGAATCGTGTACTGTTGTTGTGTCCTTGGGCTGCGTCCGTGATGAGTCCATGGCATGGAGTACTAGTCACGTGTACTGGAGTGTCATTGGCCTGTGCTTTTTGCACACACACACACACACACACACACACACACACACACACACACACACACACACACACACACACACACACACACACACACACCTCCACACACACACACACACACACACATTCTTTGCCCTGCTTTAGAGCATAGGCTGTCTTTTCGATGAAGGAATGTCTGCGAGTGGAGACAAGTTTTTTCGGGTTGGGAATATATGTTTGGAGTTTTGGCCATGGTATCTTCGCGAGGAGGCTCAGAGAGTGTTTGCTGTGGGTGTCATTTCCACGGGCTGCTCCTTAGGAGCACATGGAAGAAATGGGGGGCTCCAGGGTGTTTTAAGCAGTAGCGCTCTCTAAGGTTTTTCAGACCATTTGCAGCGTGGTCGGTGATTTCTTGTTAGTGGAGCCTTTGTGTTGTGGTGCAACTTTTTCTAATTTTTTTTGTTGGGGTCTATACACTTCAGGGGCCAGACAGCAAAGTGAAAGGGAGGTTGTCTAGCCATGGAGTGATGGCGATGATGGTGACATGAGTCGTTTTTGTGCAAGTGTGCCGCTCCGCCAGCAGACGGGTGTAATCACTTGACGCTTAACCGCACAAACGTGGGTAATATTGCATCTTCTAATACCTTTTCTGTTTTATGGATCGTTTGTGATGCTTGGAATGAGGAGAGAATTTGGAGATCTTTGAAACACACACACACGCGCACACACACACACACACACACACACACACACACACACACACACACAGAGAGAGAGAGAGAGAGAGAGAGAGAGAGAGAGAGAGAGAGAGAGAGAGAGAGAGAGAGAGAGAGAGTACCATTCATCCACCTCATGCGTTCCACCATGCGACTGTTGCCAATCTCTACAGTGTGGTCATCCACAACTGCAGACACTCCTTGCCCTGCAATATACTCCACGTTTTTCACTCTGCCAGATGGCTCTATCCCGCGCAGCCGAGCGTATGCAACCAGAGCTGAAGCCATCGGGTGATTCGACCGTGATTCAGCACTCGATAACCTGGTCATCGTGGTGGTCCCACATTCATTTCCAAGCACATTGTCACGGAAATGTGAGAATCGGCAGCCATCAAGTTCACTGTCACCACCAAGTTCGACAAATAAGCGAATTACGTAAAAATATGATAATACTTTTGTAATTAGCATATAAATAAATGAAGATAATTAAAGCAACCAATAAGAACAAAAATAATGAAAATAATTTAATTATTTCAATATTATGTAACAAATATGAATGTAGTATGCAATACTATGCATAGTAGTATTCATATAATAAAGATGCAGTCTACAGACGCTAAGGAGAGCAAATGGCTCACTGCAATGACCAGAGAACCTATCCTCCTGCAATGCTCACTCCTAATAGATAACTTACCCTCATTCATTACTACCAGTACCTTAATCAAAAGATGACTTCTGTCTTCGCTGAATAGAACACATGATCCTTTTAATAGCTGCATTTGGGCAACTTTCAGTCTACATACAGTGATAACACTGATAAGGACCTGGCCAGTGAGTTGGGTTTTCTTGGTGTTCTTCTGTTTATACCCACATTCGGAGATCATGACAGTTCCCTTGGTGATGTTGACATGCAGACGACAAAAGATAATATGCGGTCGACATATGGTCAGCTTGAGAAAAAAGTGTGAAAACATAGAAAGCTGCGATCCCACATAGATGGTCTCTTATCTTCTGACCTTAGAATTAGGCAAATCAACCACTTAAGATTGAGAGTCAACGTAAGTGCTGTATTCCCCATGTTGTTGTTGTCGTTGTCGAACTTGTCGTTGTCGTCGTCGTTGTTGTTGTCGTTGTTGTTGTTGTCGTTGTTGCTGTTGCCGTTGTAGTTGTTGTTGTTGTTGTTGTTGTTGTTGTTGTTGTTGTTGTTGTTGTTGTTGTTGTTGTTGTTGTCGTTCACATGCAGAGGACATAAGGAAAAAAGAATAGTAATAAAATAATGTGGTTCACAAGTTCACAACTTCAAAAAAAGAAAGACAGAAAAAAAGAAAAAAAAAGGTTCATAACTTCATATGCAGAATACATATTTTTTAATGATTTATCTGAAGTGAACTAGAATCAATCGCTCCACTCACCGACAGAGGTCTCCAAAGCAACAACTGAATTGAATTTTTGAGTCATTTCGGCTTTTGCCACTTTTTCTAATAAAAAAAGAAAATGAAGTTTAATGAACACAACAACCATAAGAGAAATGAATGATTCGCTGCCCGGAAGTGAAACAGGCTCGGAAGTCCGAACTTGAACACCTGTTTTTCAATGTTTCCTGGCAAATATAGCTTCACAGCAAAGACAGTGGGGGAAAGGGGTATCACTGTGACAGTGCGCCTGTTGCAATCAAGAAAGGTATATTTTTCTGCCACGAAATTAGTAGGGTATTGTTGCAATCAAAAGGGTATTTCTGCCCTGAAAGTTTGTTGTGAAGGTATAATTCGCGAGGAAACATTTTAAAGCGGGTATTTCAGACTACTGTAATGAACCCAGTCTGACAGATACTCAGAAGTCGTCAAACATCAGTAGTCTCAATATCTGCAACAAAGTCTCCAAACCGTGAAGTGATATCTCAACAGTATCTCATTACCATTAGAAGAAGAGAGTGGAGGGGGAACAGACAGAGGAGAAGATGAAAGATCTCACAATAGTAATCCCTTCAGACCCCTCTCCTTCTCCGGGCTTCTTCCCTCTCCACGTCAACAACCAGTAGATGATAATAAGTATAGATACTATAATCCTGATCACACACAATAGTGCCACATGGCACTTTAACTCGTGAAGATCATGAAGTCATAGCAGATTCCAGTGTCGACGTTAACCTCAGGTGAGTACCCGATCTCCTTCATCATCCACAGATCCTGATCTTCCTACTCCTCGCAACCAGTCACCTCATGTAGACAGTGTGGACAATGCCACGTCAGCAGTCGAGACAGGTGGCATATGCCACATCATTAATGAAGACCAGTGGCAGCGCCACATCAACATGCGATGTAGACCAAAGGCAGCGCCACACCAGCATGCAATGTAGACCAGAGGCAGCGCCACATCAGCATGCAATGTAGACCAGAGGCAACGCCACATCAGCATGCAATGTAGACCAGAGGCCGC